GCAAATAATCTTCAAAAAAAAAAAAGGCGGAGACTTTACTTAAAATCGAATTTTAAAAGGAAGTCATTTATTCTAAACTTCAACTTGGATGACAAATTCATAATCGAATTTAAAAAAAATAATTTGGATTTGGGCGTAAAAAGAAATAATTAAAGAATGATGATAAATGGCGGCAATGAAGCTCGGCGTTAGGATTTGGATCTTCTTGGTAAGGCACACAGTATTGCGCCTAGATCTAAATCGTACCGCCGAATCTGGACCGTCCACTGTACCGATCGAGCGTGACTCCTCGTCCTTCTGCCGTATCTCGTCACGTGAGAGGACACTGTCGGCGTCGGCCAACCTTCTTCCTTTACTAGTTTTTTTATTTTTTATTTTGCATTACTTTGTCCTCTATCTTCTATTAAATTGCAGTAAAAATAAAGAACCCAATCAAAACAACACAAAAAAGAAGAGAACAAGTATCTTAAGAATTCCTATTATGCTAAAAAAATGTATATAATTTACGTAAATTTTCCTTTTTCCTTTTTCTTTCTTTTTGTTGGGCGAAAAAGGAAAATGACAACGAGACTTTGCTTGGGTGTCTTTTTTTTTTTTTGTTTCTTCTTTTTTTTTTCCAGCTATTTGAGTTTGCGGACAAATACAGAGGGAAATACGACGACAGCATCACCCTGGCCCAGAAGTACTATCGATCAGTCAGTGGTTACAACGTGAGTGTCTCGGCATGACTGTCCGTATCAACTGTTCATTTTCCATGTCTAGATACTCGTAGATGCGTATAAAGATGGTGATTAGTTTGAGTCATGTCATAAGTTTCAGGGTTGGTTCATGTTGCATCTGTTTGAGATTTGCTAGCTACAAATGCGCTTGAGATTAACAGTACTTAGACCTCGCAACGACTCTGTTTATCGAGATCATGTGTTGCGATTGAATCAAGGCCGAGAGTTCGTATGTGCGCGTCGTAAAGAAAGGATTAAGATGGACTTGTTGGTTTTTTTCTTGGGGTGGTGCAGGATGAGCTGTTGTGGGCAGCTGCGTGGCTGTTCCGGGCAACAAACAATCAATATTACTTGGAGTACCTGGGCAAGAATGGCGACTCCCTTGGTGGGACAGGATGGGCCATGACTGAATTCAGCTGGGATGTCAAGTATGCCGGTGTTCAGACGCTTGTGTCGAAGGTCACTTCTTTTCTTCAATCACAGCACACATCAACCAAATCTCTTATCACTCGCTCGATCACCCATTTTATTCATTCGGCTAGAGACGAAATTGCATATTAACATGTCGGGCTCACCTCGTCTCGTTTAGTTGATCATTGGCATTATAGTTGTCGCATAATGCCAGTGTGGCTCGTCGCCACTCGGCTCTGTGAAGTTCAGTTGCTTATTAATGGGATGTATCCCGATATACGGGAGTTACAGACACAATGGATTAGTTTCTTATCATTCAATCTGCATATTGACGTGCGTAAACTCGCCATAGATCATGTGCGGTTTCTTGGTCGAATTTGATGAAGTCTTGGACTCTTAGTTCAACAAAGGATAAGCTCCGTGAGTTAGTAAAATCGATCTTTGATTTATGATAGGTGATTTTGTAATCATCCGGATTAGATGGTTCCTCTATACTAGGCAACAACATCACTCTGTTGTAGCGGTTTGGATGAGGAAGCTTGACTGGGTTCTTGTGTGTCGCTTCCACTGCAGATTCTGATGCAAGGGAGAGCAGTTCACTATGCACCGGTATTCGAGAGGTACCAGCAGAAGGCGGAGTACTTTATGTGCTCGTGCCTCGGCAGAGGGACTAGGAATGTCCAGAGGACACCCGGCGGTCTCATGTTCCGCCAGCGGGGGAACAACTTACAGTTCGTCACCAGTGCCTCATTCCTGATGACTGTCTATTCCGATTACCTCGCGTCTTCTAGAAGGAACTTGCACTGCTCCTCGGGTGCCATCGCTCCTTCTGCGCTCTTCTCGTTCGCAAAATCACAGGCACGTTAATGATTCCTGACTCTCTCGCGTCTTTTCCTGGTTCAATTTATAGTCTAGTGAATTCATAAGAAATACAATAAGGAACCAGCTAACAAGTGCATCGACAAGATGAAAGGGCAAAGATTCAATCAATTGCTGGAGCATAAATCATTACACTTGCAGGTGGACTATATTCTTGGGGACAACCCAAGAGCAACAAGTTACATGGTGGGGTATGGAACCAACTACCCGAGGCAAGTCCACCACCGGGCTTCTTCGATCGTCTCTTTTAAGGTCAACCCCACATTCGTGAGCTGCCGAGGAGGCTATGCAACCTGGTTCAGCAGAAAGGCCGGCAATCCGAATCTCCTGACTGGTGCAATAGTCGGCGGACCTGATGCCTATGACAATTTTGCAGACCAGAGGAGCAACTACGAGCAAACCGAGCCAGCCACATACAACAATGCACCTCTCCTCGGCGTGCTTGCAAGGCTAAGTGGAGGCCACGGCGGATATAACCAGCTTCTTCCAGGTGAATAGATCATGATAATGAATGTTATATCCAAATTTTGTTTTGATTAGAAGCAGCATTTTGGACTAACTCCCTGGTTGTTCATCATTGACTAATAAGCATCTTCGTGCAGTTGAGCTTCCTGCCCTAAAACCGATTGTTTCGCGACCAAATCCAGTCCCAGGTAATTGAATTGTCTATAAATCCAATAACACATTTCTTCTTTTCTGGTGGGAATGTCTACATCTTAGATCTGACTTATATCATTGATACTAACAGGAACAGAACCATCATATCATTTGATTCGTCCATCCTAGAAAAAAAGAGATAAGCAAAAGCTTTACATTAGTGTGCAAAAATGGTGATGACTGGATGAGACATCAATACTCTAAGTTAAAGAGATTCATCGCTGATTCATCGCAAATTTGCGACGGACAAATACCATCCGTTGCAAATTTGCGACGGACAAAGACCGTCCGTCGCAAATTGGTGGCCGGTCGCCGGAACAACAAAAACAGAAAAAAATGTCAATAAAAAAAAAATTCGCATCCAACGATGAATCAGAAGGACATGATCATATTAGTTGCATGTTTAGTCACGAAATTAGCTACGATACTTACCGGTGGAAAAGCTTCACCGAGATTAATTTCTGGACGCACGGATTATTGAGAGAAATGATAGAAGGAGAAGGTGAGAGAAAAGCGGGCAACCTGACGAATCACTACTGAGAGAGAGAGAGAAATTGACGGGTGGGGTGGGGTGCATATCAAAAAATTAATTTTTCGTCACAAATTAGCGACGAACCCTTTTTCGTCGCAAAATCCGTCGCAAATTGCGACGGATAAAATATTCGTCGCGACGGAAAATAAATCCTTCACAAATTTGCAACGGAAAATTAGTCGTCGCAAATTTGAGACGGAACTAGCGACGAGCAACTTTCCGTCGCAAATTTGCGACGGAATTATTTTCCGTCGGAAATTCCGTCGCAAATTTGCGACGGATTATTTTCGTCGCAAATTTGCGACGGATTTATAGTTTGTCGCAAATTAGCAACGAAAATAATCCGTCGCAAATTTCCGTCGCAATAATCATGTTTTTTTGTAGTGAATAGGCACAATGTCAGAACAATATGCACATGGGTACAATGTACCTTAACTGTATACTGTGAGGATCTTGCACGTACGATCTAAACAAGGGTAACTTGAATCTCAAACAGTAAAAGTTCATTGACCGAAATAATTGATATTTCATACTTGATTGGAAATTTTCAAGGGATAAATGTAATTTCTATCAAACTTCCAATAATTTCTTGTTAGTAATTTCATTTGATCATATGATTAATAACTTTCTAAACGCGTTAATAAATCATGAATTTAGAGTCGATTTATAGTTTGTCGCAAATTAGCAACGAAAATAATCCGTCGCAAATTTCCGTCGCAATAATCATGTTTTTTTTTGTAGTGAATAGGCACAATACAATGTACCTTAACTGTATACTGTGAGGATCTTGCACGTACGATCTAAACAAGGGTAACTTGAATCTCAAACAGTAAAAGTTCATTGACCGAAATAATTGATATTTCATACTTGATTGGAAATTTTCAAGGGATAAATGTAATTTCTATCAAACTTCCAATAATTTCTTGTTAGTAATTTCATTTGATCATATGATTAATAACTTTCTAAACGCGTTAATAAATCATGAATTTAGAGTCGAGATATAGGACAACGTATCACTCAAACTCGACCTTTACAAGAGCTAAAGCTTGGCCCTCTATTTAACATCAACTCGAGCTACTTGAGGTCGACCCAGCTACGTGCTTAACGGCTTGATTTGATCATAATTGAAGCTCGAGTTAAGCTATAACTTCAGACTCGGCTCGAACTTGAGTGTACAGCATTTAAATGACACGGTTCTCACGTTTCCCCCGTACTTCTCCAATAGGATCCAGCGAGGCAAAGTTCGAGTTCACGCCTTACAATGCTTGAGGTCGGCCCATTCTCAGCTCGACTTGACAAAAACTGACGGAGACAAGGCTAAATAAGCTCCCCGCACATAGATTTGCCAATGCATGCCCTTGTGTTTAACGAACTTGGACTTCTGTCACTAAGTTGCATTATCTCTCCAAGATCATTGGGTGAGGAAGATCTCATGATCCTTAATGGGTCGGCAAAATCCACAGTCCTTATAGACACGGCCGATAGTTGGAAAGAGTTCGATTTTGACTATTTGAGCTTAGGATTTAGGACTCAACCGCCTTCCGCAGAAAGGATGACTCACTCGGAGCCAATTTCTGCATTGTTTATCTCATCGCCATGGTGAGTTTACCAAAGCATTTTCCAATGGGTAATCACTTCATGCATGGAATCAGCAAGCATAACGAACCACCCTCTCATATAGTATATATATGTGAGCAAGCCTAACAATACACAAATGCAAGCACATGCGAACACACATACACACACAAACGATCTCCTTATCTCCATAGAAAACACGCTTCACTCTGCGCAATAGCTCGGAAATGGCACGTCTCGGAAAGTGCTTTGTCAATGTCGCAACAGTGGTGATGACGTTGGTGCTGATTCTTCCGTCCTCGAGCCATGCCGCTACGTATTATGTAGGGGACCAGGATGGCTGGACTTACGATGTTGACTTCGACTCCTGGGTTGCCGGCAAGACTTTCTATGTCGGTGATGTTTTAGGTAATCAAGTTTACCGAAGTAGTGATAAGAGTAGGAAATGCATTTGAGCATGCATGCGCTAAAGCAGCATATCTACATGAACATCACTTACTAATGCCTAACGATCATCATGTATGATCTGTTGAGATTCGACTTCTATTCAGATTTGGGTAGATGGGAAAGCCTTTTTCTCATCTCAAAAATAGCGATAGTATTCATAGGAGTGTTGTTATATCCCGTTGTGCTTACTACTTGGACCGAATTGATTCTGAGGATTAATGTAATTGGCAGTTTTCATCTATGACAACACCCAGCATAACGTGTTCTCAGTCGATGCAAATGGGTACAACACATGCTCAACGAACAAGTATTACGGGAGCTATGCTAGTGGCAACGACCAGATAACACTGACTGCGGCTGGCGACTGGTACTTCATTTGTTCGTATCACTGCGATTACGCTAGCCAGAAGGTTGCAATCACTGCCTATTCATCGTGAAGTGACGTCAATGTGGTCTACCGAGGCCGGATTTCACGGGTCTTAGCACCCGCTACACAGTAGATCTCGAGGTGTTTTGGTCTGTTTAGTATTGGCAGTTACTCTCAAGGCCTTTTCATTTTGGTGTGTTTACTTTCTGGTTTTCTCATAGTATGAAGAAGGGAAATGAGGTTGGAAATTGTCTCAATAACTAAGGCATGTAATGGCCTCAATAAAAAGGTTTGAGTGCTTTGCCTAATTAATTAAGGATCAATAAGAGAGATCTACTTATTCTTTGAATCCCCTGGTTACCTGCTTCTTCCTTTCTATATATCTGGATTTCGAAGCTCATGGAGAACTGAGACAAATCCTTCTTTCTAATTTTTTACATTCCAGGAACATTTTAGTCGAAAATACCAGATATTCACCATGTTAAAGATGCCCTTCACCTCCTTGTTCATGGTTTTGGCTATGAAAAGCCATTTGGGGTTATAGAAGTGCCTCTCGCAATTAAATCGTATATTCTGACATAGTTTTGGCTCTTTTTACATTGATCGAGTTAGAAATGCTTGAATGAGGTGAAGCCAGGGGAATTTGAACAAAGTGCCTTATGTCGATCCAGTGCTTATGTTCCGTTTGGAGTGACTTTCATTGTTTCAAATTTTGAGATTTTCATAGTTTTGCTTCTACTTATCCACAGTAAAATCAGATTTGACGAAAGAGATGGCGAACTCGTTCAGCCAATTCTTAATATAGGTCGTTCAATGTCACCTTCTTCGTTCAAATTTACTAAAAATCACCCAAAAAATCAAACATGAGATTTATTCCACAAACTGGACGATAGATTTCACTTCATGAGGAAGCTGATGATGACATGTAAGTAAATTTCTTTTATTCGAGGATGATATGTTGTTGATAAAAGCTAGTTCTTTTCTCTTGTGGAAGATCCATATTTGTAGGACAAATAGGCCCCGAGAGCTACAATCACCACAATTGCCACCCCCATGTTCACAACCAGTTGCCTGTCTTCGTTCGAACCTCTGGTCAGCCCCTTCACTGCCCTCTTCACAGCACCCACCAAATCCTCGGTTTCAGTCACTTTCTTGCCTGAGATGGGTTTTGGAATGCCAAGCTTTTGTGCATCATCATCCAATCTGGCCTCGTTGTTATTCTTCCTCGAAACCTCTATCTCTCCGTTCTTCTGCACATTGTCCTCATTCTGTGATGATGTTTTGTTTCCCTTATCATGTGCAGTCTGTTGATATTTGGGTTTCTCGATCGTCTGCGATTCATCGGCAGGTCTATCGCCCTTCTCCTTTGCTCCAATTCCCGAGCCTTCATCGACTCTATATGCAGCACGGTCCGAAATCGCATTAGTTGCAGCTTCTTTAGGCTTGACCCGGCTTGCATTCTGTGATGTTGGGTCACTGGAGGAGGCTTTTGGAGGGGCATCTTCTAGACCCTTTTGATGTTTTGGCTGATCAATGGCTTCCTTCGCGCCGGCGACCGCCTTGTCTTCTCTCTTCTTCTTTCCGATGTCATCGCTTGAAGTGGTCTTTGGGGGAACATTTTGTTGACCAACCTTAGGAGATTTTGGCTCTTTTTCAGTGCTCAAAGATTGTTTCGGAGTCCTCACTTGGGGTGGTGCTTCTTTAGGAGGGACTTGCGTGACGGTTTTCTTTGGCAGAGTTAAGACGAGAGTTCCGTGCTCGAACTTGCCCCTGATCTCGCCCGGCTTGCAATTCTCCGGGACACGGAATTCCTTGCCGAAACGGCTGAATTTGTCGGGCCCCAGAGGACGCTCTCCACAGACTTTCACAGTTGGCGGTCGCTCATTATATGTGACCCTGATTTGCTCCTTCGCAAAACCTGTGCATCAACATATTCGCATACGATGTGAAAAGGCCGAATTTCGAGTTATCATGTTGGTGACGAGGATTACATCATGGTCGGCTGAACCAATTGCGCTAGATGGAAACTCAGGACATGTCTTGATATCAAGAAATTATGACGCACGTACTAAACTGAATCGAACCGCAAAACATAATGCAACTTTGATTCTGGGATCAGGCGAAGCAAGAAAAGGGAGGAGACGAAATGTTGATGGAGAAACAAGGATGATACCAAGAAGAAAAAGGAAGAGATACGCCAAACCTGGAAGAGAAACGCTCAAGAAATTCGCGGTCGGTTCTTCCTGCCACTCGAACTTGGGCTCCAAATCCTCGTACATGGGACGCCCAACGCTTGCGCCATCCCGCCAGCAACAGTCCCGGATGTTCTCGGTCCCGTCGCCATTAACGTGTCTTATATTTTCTTCCTCCTCCTTAACTATTGATCGGATATAGTTATTCGTAGTGCGTCTTTTGCTTGATCGCAAGATAGACATTTTGCCCGGCACTGTTGGTCCGTATATGTAGTCTTCGACGGCGGTATCGGTAATGCCCGCAGCGTATGAAGGTTTCTTGCGTTTTGTGTTTGATACGTGAGATTATTCCTTGTTGATTGCTGTGGTCCGTCTCTTTGTTGATGTTTTTGGAGTCTGTTTCGTCGTAAATGTCCTCACGACGAAATATAATTCACCGAAAGTAGTTCTTCGGCTCTTAATGAAAGGAGACTGAGTTCTAGATCTAATTCCGGACAGGAGCAATCCAGGCGTGAATAAGGAACTTGATTTATATAGAAAATCTAGACGAATCCATCCAATTGCTGGTGGCGTCCGAAGTTACAAAGACCTGAGCAACTATAGCTAAGGAAACTGAAAGTACGAAACTGGAGAGTAAAGACTATAACTATGGAAGCTGAAAGTGCGAAACTTGGAAATAAAGATAAAAGACAACATTTGTTTTGTTCATTTGTGCCGGGGGGTTTTCTGTTGGTAATCAGATGCTATTTATAGCGCAGACTTGGTAACCATTCTTGGTGTTGTATCCAATCTCTACCGTTGATTTCATCTTTATCGTTCATGTGATGACACCTGTTTATCAACCGTTATCGATCTTATCTTTTGTACGAAGTGAGAATCGATTTTAAGCCCATTTAGTCTCTGAAATGATAACCGTCATCGAGCCCATTGGTTCTCTGTCTGACAACTATCCCTTGGGATGATAACCGTCATCGAGCCTTTTCTCCATTCGACACCTGTTTCTCGAAATGATAACCGTCATCGAACCTTTTCTCCACTTGACACCTGTCTCTCGAGATGATAACCGTCATCGAACCTTTCCTCCGTTTGACACCTGTCTCTTGGGATGATAACCGTCATCGATCCTTTCCTCCGTTTGACACCTGTCTCTTGCGATGATAACCGTAATCGAACTTTTCCTCCGTTTGACACCTGTCTCTTGGGATGATAACCGTCATCGAACTTTTCCTCCATTTGACACCTGTCTCTTGGGATGATAGCTGTCATCGAACTTTTCCTCCGTTTGACACCTGTCCACCGGAAATGAGGACCTTCATTGAGATTTTTTGACTTGACGTCCAATATCCTTTTCATCGATGAAATCGATGAAAAGCACCTTTAGCACTTGGACATTTGTCTTTTCCGGAGCAAAGACTTTCATCGAATCTTTCATAGCGTTTCTCCGTCTAACACCTGTTCAACAGAAATAAGGACCTTCATTGAGCTTTTCTGCCTTGACATCCATTACCCTTTTCATCGATTTCATCGATGAGAAGCATTTGAGCACTTGGACATCTGTCTTTTTCTGGAACAAAGGCCTTTATCGAATCTTTCATGGCTTGACATTCGTTCTTCTCCTTGTCGACATCTTCGATGAAAATTCTCTCAACATTCTTAATCCCCCTCCATCTGAATTTCAAATTTCCCGCTTACGACTGTCCGTACCTACCTGCTGCCATTTCAGTACAGGTGATATCATTTCTTGTCGTTTTATTCATATATCCTCACAATGAAATCTCTAATTAATTTCAGGTGTCAACATATGCCCCCTTTTAAAAGAATTAATTCTTCTGTTTAATTCTTTTAAAATAAAATTTTGTCCCATAATGCCTTGTAACTTGTATTCGCTCATCCTTCCTGAAACGCTTCGCTTTTTCTGACACGTCATCCCGATCATTTATGACCTAGCAGATCTTCATGATAGCATATCACTTGAACCGTCGTATCCTGGTGAAAAATTGCATCTTTTGACCTTCCATCTTCTTCTTCGATTCTAGGTTTTCCTCTTAGTCTTTCACTCCTTCGTTTCCATTTAGATTTTTTATCCAATCTGCACTCATGGCCCGCAAATATTCTCCCAAATCATACATTGAGAAATTTGATCAACTACGTCATGATCAAGAATCCTCGAACTGTGACTTTCGACTATTACACTTGGTCGATGAATCTTCCAACCAACTCATTCTGGGTCTTTGCTTTCATGATCATCAATAGATTCCCGCTTCTCTTCGTCCCTGTTTTCCAAAGAGGACGGGGGAACTGCTTCCTATTCAGAAGTCGTCAGTTGCAGACATCTGGTTTCCAGAAAACTCACGATTTCGGGGGTTTCCTTCTTTTGAGATGGATTTTCACCGCTGGTATGTAAAACTAAAGGGAGATATACCTACTCGCCTTGCCTAGATAAGAGCTGGTATTGATACTGCTCTAGAAGTTAGCATGTTGTCGTATGATTTAGATCTGGGGCTTCTGGGTGCTGCCATTAGTTTTTGGTCCCCTTTGACCAATTGTTTCTTTTTTTCCTGGGGCCCTATGTCTGTTACTCTGTTGGACATATATGCCACTACTAATTTTCCTCCAATTGGGACCCCCATAAGTGACATGGCTTCGATACCAATACCCTTTATTCCTGATGAACATCTTGCTTATGGTAGATTTTTGGAAACATACTTTCTTAGTACTGAGCCAATAACTCTTGATGAGCGGACCTGTTTCCTTCTCTTTTGACTGTCTAAATATGTTTTCTTTGCCCCCACACTGAAAATTTCTAAAGATTTCTTACCACTCGCAGCCAATCTTGCTGCCAGTAAAACACTTGCTTTGGCACCATTAATGCTAGCCA